CCTCCATCTCCCGGGTTCAAGTGATTCTCCTGCCTTAGCCTCCTTAGTTGTTGGGACTATAGGCACATGCCACCATGCACAGCTAATTTTTATATTTTTAGTAGAGACGGGATTTCACCATGTTGGCCAGGCTGGTCTTGGAACTCCTCACCTCAGGTGATCTGCCCGCCTTGGCCTCCCAAAGTGCTGGGATCACAGGCATGAGCCACTGCACATGGCCCTGAACATTTATATAATACCCTGCATGAGCCTGTTACCATATTTAATCTTCAGGATGAGCTCGTAAGATATGGGTACTATGATTATCTCCATAGTTCAGATGAGAAGCACGGAGAGACAGTGTCATATCTAAGGTCTCACAGATCATTTGGGCCAGTCAAGGATTTGAAGCTGGGTCTGTCTACTCCGAAGTTTGGGGTACACAGGAGTAAAATGGCAGAGCGCTGGGGTGACAGAAGTTGGTTGTGGCCACAGGACATGCCCACAAAGGCTCAGGGTTGCTGTCAGCACGTTGTGGGAGGCCTGGCGGAGAACGCTGGAGAGGGCCAGCATTTCCTTCTGCACCCCGTGGGCTGCTTTCCCTGACATTTACCAGGCTCTGAGGTGCTGTGGGATGTGGCCGCTCACGGCCTCACTGTGGGGCGTCCCGAGGAAGTGCTGCTTCCCAGGCGCTGGTTTTTGTGGCTGGAGCTCAGAGGAGAGGAAGTAGGCAGAGGAACTGCCAGGCACAGGGATCTGAAACTATGCAAGGAGTGCTGACGCAAGCCAGGCTGCCTGGGTTCAAATCTGGCTTCCCCACAGGATCTGGCTGTGTGACCTTGGCCTGTGCTCTCACCTCTTTGTGCCTGGTGTCCTCCCTTATAAAATGGGATGAGGAGACCTGCCTCCTCGGGGTACTGCACAGATGAGACAAGCCCATGTGTGTGAGGTGCTTAGAGTGACGCCAGGGACATAGTGAGCGGCCATAAGAGTCGGGTAAGAACACTGCCAGGAGGGCTGGAACGAGGGTAGGAGCTGGGTGGTGCGAGACCTTGAGGGCCACAGTGGAGCCTGGACGGTATCCTGAGGGCGCAGCGAAGCAGGGGAGGGCTTGAGATCTGCCTCTGCATGAATCTTCGTGGTGAGGGCCCCCCCAGAGATCCCACCCATATGAGATCTTCCCCCGCCCCCCACTCCCCCCGTCATCTTCCAGTTATCTGGTCACCATCTCTTGTGGAACAACCTTGACCTCTCTTTGAAGCCATCTTCTTTGTTATTAGATAATGTCAGTTGCTTGAAGCCTGTGATTTAATAACGACTGTGGGTCTTTGCGCAGCCCTCTTGCTTCTCTGGGCCTCAGTTTCCTCGTCCACCAGTGTGGGCTGGCTAGTCTCTAAGTGCTCTCAACAGCCCATGGGCTGGATTCCTATGGCTGTCAGTGCATGGAGTTTTGTCTGCTGTGTATACACCCCAGAGGTGGGAAAAGGTCTCCTCCTTCTTTGTGTTGGGTCCCTCGACCTGGAAGGGACAATCCATGAGAATGCTCCTCTTAGTGACAAGGACAGTCCATGAGAACTCTCCTCTTGGTGACACTCTTTTCATGGCACCGCCATTTGGTATTTTCTGTGTTTCATCTACCACTTGCTGGTGTGAACCTAGGAAGAAAGCTTGGGATGGAAGCTTTATGTGTCCTACCTAATACTTGCTGACCACATTTCCAGGTAGTTTTTCTCCCTTTGTGAACTTCTCAAAATGATCCCCCCCCTTTTTTTCCCCTAAAACAAGCTCCTATAAGTGGAAAAAAAAATGATGCTGTTGGTAGCAGAATTCAAGAATTCATTTGAGGCAAGGAGAGGCTGTGGGAGAGGGTGACAGACACCAGCGTGCTCCTGTTTCCTCTGTTAATTTCCTACTTGATCTTCAGGCTTCGAGCTCACTTTGTAGTTGTGGATGAGAACACATTTTTTCATGAGGGCCCCAACCTGGTGTGTACAGTCATGCTCCTGGGGGTGACCTCTGCCTGAAAAGGGGACATGTGTCCCTGTTGGGTGGTCTTTGACAAATAAACTAAGTTTGTCCTGCACTACTTCTGTACAGGACTTTGCACACTGACAGTACTCAGGTCTTGATAACTTGAGTTCCAGTTCCTCGATGTCTATCCAGCCATCTTCCCTCGCTTCCTTTTGAGCATCAGACATTCCTGTTTGGTTATCTGAGAAAACAGGGCGCTTAAGTATTCTGCCCTCATTGAGGGGACGCGTCTGATATTAGCTTCTGGACTTTTCTTGGCCCCAGCAACTGCCTTTGGAGGAGCTGACACTTCTGTCTCTTCAGTCATAAGATGTTTATTAGGCATTTGTGCATGCTGGGTGTTGGGGAGATGGTGATGAATCTGACTTGGTCCCTTCAGCAGGGACCAAGGGACACTAGAATGAGAGTCAATATATTAACCACCTTTTCTCTTTCCTTTGAGCATAGCCCATATCTTGCTGAGTCATTTCAGGAATTGCACTGTAAGGTCAGGATTTGCAGACTTAATTGTGACAGAGGGCTCTCGCGTGTTCTTTGCTTATTCCTTGTCAAGATCATCTAGAGAGCAATCACTAGACTTTATGTTAATTTTTCATGGGGGAGGTGGGGAGGAGTTATGTTTAAGTAATGCTTGAAACGCAGATTTCATTGGATGAATCTTAAGAGCCAAGACTCTATGGGTTCAAACCTAAGCAGTCACAGAAGATGTTAATAGCTGTGCTTAAAAGTATGGAGGGGCTCTTTGGTCAGACGTTGGGAAGGGCTACATACTCTAGCCCACCTTGGAGAGTTACTCGGCACAGCAGCGTGTTAAAGCCTCCGAGAAGCTCTGTAGGGAAGAAAGCCATCTGACTTTGACTCAGCAGTTTCCAAAGCTTATTAGTGTTCAGAATGTTCCCCCTTTCTCATAAAACCATTTAATATCCCCCAGAATCAGTGTTCCACAAGACACCCTGGAAATACTCATGGAAATGACTTGTTTCAGCTGAAAACTCCCCAATGACCAGTGTCAGTGGTCAGCAAGAGAAATCAAGTATTCGCAAATGCAGTGGGGTTTTTTTGGCCTAACTTCTTGGCCCAAAACTGGGGATGCAGTGTTCTGCTTCCGGACAGGAGAGTTTACCTTTGAGCACAACCTCCTCATCAGCTGCCATGGCTCACGTGACATCCAGGCTGCATGCTGAGGAAAGGCGGAGGGGAGCTTCTGTCTTTCTGCTCTTCAGTGACTCCTGAGCCAGGGCACCCCTGAAGTCGCTGGCTTCCCTCTTAACTTGGGGCTGCATCTTTAAGCCTGTGTTCTCAGACAACCAAGAAGGCAGGTCTGGGATGGGCAGGGACCTGTCATGGTGCTTCTGTAACAGACTTGGCATATAATAAAGTGTAATATACAACAATGCTTTTAAAAATTATTTATTTATTTATCTTTGAAACAAGATCTCATTCCGTCACCCAGGCTGGAGTGCAGTGATGTGATCTTGGTTCGCTGCAACCTCTACCTCCTGGATTCAAGCAATTCTCATTCCTCAGCCTCTCAAGTAGCTGGGATTATAGGCATGCACCACCACGCCTGGCTAATTTTTGTTATTGTATTTTTAGTAGAGACAGGGTTTCACCATGCTGGCCAGGCTGATCCTGAACTCCTAGCCTCAAGTGATGCACCTGCCTTGGCCTCTCAGAGTGCTGGGATTACAAGTGTAAGCCACCTCATCCAGCCCTTAATAATGCCTTTTTTTTTTTTTTTTTTTTTTTTTAAGAAAGATCTATAGACATTCAGATATGGAGAAAAAAATATGATGGTAGGATTCTGGACAGTTTCTATTTTTTTCTTATTTTCTGTTGTTGCCCTGTTTCCTTTCTTTCTTTTTGGCTGTTAACATTTTATTTAAAAATTTTTAAAAATGTAACTTCAACTTTTTGGATTTGGGAAGTACCTGTGGTTTGTTCCATGGGTATATTACGTGACACTGAGGTTTGGGCTATGAATGAGCCTGTTGCCCCGGCAGTGAGCATAGTACCCAAACAGTAGGTTGTTGGTCCCTGCTCTGCTCCCTGACCCCCACCCTGTTAGTCCTCACGATCTGTTGTTCCTTCTTCATGTCCATATAGACCCAAAGCTTAGCTCTCACTTATAAATGAGAACATGCGGTGTTTAGTTTTCTGTTCCTGCATTAATTTGCTTAGGATAATGTCTTGTTTTCTGTTGTCAACATGTCTTCCTTTTAGCAAAAGGAAATACTCATATCTATAAATACATATATACACACAACCGCACGCATTGACACATACACATCTTACTGAAATGACATATGTAAGGAAGTAAAAAGTTCCCCTTCAAAGTTTTCCTTCTTATTTCAAGATAATAATAAATGTTAGAAATAATTGTTTTAAAGACTAACTTTCTTCAAGGCCTTCTTGCTTTTTGCTAAAAACTCCTTGTTAAGCCCTATCCTATGTAGCTGCTAGACATGCTACAGGCACGTAGTACATTCTATGTCCTTGTACTTTAACCAAGACATTTGTGCTGGACGTGCTCACAGGCATGTCCCAGCTCGCAGCCTATGACCCTTCCTTATTTGGACTTCCTCTTTTCCTTTGTTCTCCCTTGCCTTTACCTATTTAGAAAAGTTTTAAATTGTCATCCAATCAGGTTCAGTTTTAAATTGTGAAGTCTGGCTCCAACCAAAGGAGAGCTGACACAGCAATAAAGACCTAATACATAAGGAATAAATACGCCTGCCTTTCCTGTGTTCATTGTACTCTCGTAGCAAGATAGCTGACAAGGAGTACCCTTTCCGCAGAAAGTAAAATTGCCTCACTGAGAAAGCTTTTTGTTTGAGTGCTAATTTTTCCTTGCAATACCTAAGAACAAACATTCTATCTCTATTAACATAATATGTAAGCTAAGATAAATAGAAGTTGGTGAGTTTTTTGTCTTAAATCTTTGGTTTCTAGTAGTTCCTTCAAAGTCTGTCATTTTTAAATTTTTCTAGATGGGCAGCAAATTTGGGAGATGGAAGCCACGGTGGATAAGGACAAGAGCCAGCCCGTAAGCACGTGGACGCACTGGCTGTCAGGCAGCTGAGTGTCTCTGAACCCCCGTCATGTTCCCTCCCTCATGCTCTCTCTTTCTTTCCCTCCTTCCTTCATCAATGTCCCCCAGAGCTTTGGACCTAACAGGTACTCAACAATGCATATTAATGAGTGAATTTAGCATTTATTGGGCATCAGGCTCTCTGATTTGTAACTGTGACATCTTAATGTATTTCGATGGAGTATTTTTCTTTGCTGCTGCTGAAAAGTTAAATTCCCCTGAAATTGAACTTCCCCTGTAAACCTATGAAAGGCACATCAAAACCCCCATTAGATGCTGGGCTGCCTGAATATACTTAGGGTGTGGGTAGGAACTTACACCTACCCACACCCTAAGTTCATGACCACTCCTTCTTTCCAGAACATGCTTTTTGTTGAGATTCCCGAGTATCGGAACAAGCACATCCGCACACCTGTAAAAGTGAACTTCTATGTCATCAACGGAAAAAGAAAACGAAGTCAGCCTCAGCACTTTACCTACCACCCAGGTAAGGACTGTCTCTGACGGCCCTGTTGTTATTGAGAGGCAGGACAGGCACGGGGCTCAGGACACCTGAAGTTTGCTTCTAGCTGGGTAACTTTGGACAGATGACTCAACCTCTCTGAGCCTCAGTTTCATCATCTGTGAGGCAGCATCTTTCTTATAAGGGTTCTGGAAATGAAATGCACATAAAATCCTTAGCACAGCACAAAGTAAGCTGAAGTCAGTGATATTAGCTATTATCGCCTGAGTACTTTCCTTTGGGGAAGGGGGAATAGAAGAAGGGCATGTGTGTGCATGTACAACAGAAGGGTGCTAAGTGGTTGACTCCTGTCCCTGGCTTAGATTTGATCATGATAGAGGGGTCAAAGGTGGCTATGCCCTAAAACCTATAGAATCTTTATGTGACCCCCTGTGTGGCTCATCACCCTGTGGCCTAATGAAGTGAGTGACTGTTCTATAACCGGGCCAGAAGCTCTCATTCCCACAAAGTACAGCCCCAAGAAAGGTGATGAGTACCATTTTGTCATTCATTCATTTGTCCAGAAAATGTAAGAGTGCCAGGCACTGTTCTTGGCTTGTAGACACAGCCGTGAACTCTACAGGGTAAGAATCCCTGCCCATGTGCAACCACCATTCTAATGGGGATGAGGTCATAGATAATGTTATTATTGACATGTTGGATTATGATTGGGGCTGCAGAAAAGGTGGACAGGAACAGCCAGGGGAAGCATAAGTTTATATTTTAAAAATGCTTCTCTGAGCTCTCCCTTGGGAAGTAGGCTACAGGCTTCCCAGGCTGAGAAAGACCTGCTAGCCACCTTTCCAAGACTGGAAACCTATAATTCGAAACAATCTCCCAGGGTATAATTTCCATCCTGTGGCAGCCTCTGGGCTGCTGGAAGCATTACACTGAGGGGTGTCCTGGCAGCCTGGCCTTGGTGAGCTTGACTTGTGCCCACAGTTTTGTGTTGACCCCCATGAGGACACTGCTGTCCTGGGGCAGACATGACACTTTATCAGCGGCAGGGTTCAGACCCAGCACTGTGGGGATTGCTGGGAGGCTCTAGACTGCAGCTCAGGAATCCCATTGAGCAGACAGCTTCTCCATTCTGTTTTGTGGTGCCCTCTCCTCTCCTTTGTGGGCGGGCCTTGGCTCTTGTCTGGCTGAGCGTGGCCTGAGTGAGCTCTCTGTCTCCCAGGGAGTGAGGTGACAGCCTTTGAATAGCGTCTCAAGGGACAATTTCTGTGGCTGGAGACAGCCCTGCCTAGTCTCCTTGTCTCCTCCAATCCCCAATACTTGGCGGTCCCTCACCACACACGCACGCACACGCACACGCACACGCACACTTGGTCACAGTCCTGTCGCTGATTCATTCACTCCAGTAAACAGAAAACTGATTCCTTAACTCTTGGGATCGGTATGGATGTTGGGGAAAGAGTAATTTCAGTGATTGGTGCTGGGCAGGGAGAAAGGAATGGCCACAGCGACAGCACAAATGCTAATCATGATGGATGATAATAGTCAGAGGATAGCAGCAACAGCAACCATTGAGCACTTACTGTATGCCAGCCACCGCACTCAGTGCTTTGCATACACAACGTATTTAATCCTCCCAATGATCCTGTAGGGGTAGGTATGATTGTTACCACCAGGTAACAGATGGGGAAACTGAGGCTTGAACCAGTAGTGCTTATTCCCCCAAAGCACTACAGAATGGAGGAAAGGGACAGTCACTATTCTGTCATTCCTTTGGAAAATATCTGAGTGCCCATTAAGTACCAGGTGCTGTTTGGGGCCATGAGGATCAAAACCACACAGAAGTCCTACCTTTGAAGAGCTGACTTTGGAGGCGGGGTGTATTTAGGTAATAAATCGGCACGTAAAGCATCTATGACATTTCTAATGGGGATAAGCGGTAGACAGGAAACAAATGGAGAAAGGAGCTGCCAGGGTAGAAAGGGGGAGGTACCATCTGAAATCAAGCTTGTCCTCCGAGCTCTCACCTGGGAGGAATAGGCTGTAAACGTCCCAGGGCGGAGTCAGACCCAGCAGACACCTTTCCAATATTGGAAAAATCTATAATTCGAGATGACCATTGCCGGGATAAAATTTCCTACCTAAGACAATCGCACAGGGAGCCTTTTTTCCAAGACTGGTAAGTGACGGCGACCAACCGTTTGGTCCCACCCAAATGGACTCCCAAGGCCATTTTCCCAAGCACCGTCCACGAATCCTCCGCGCACACCCGTGGCTCACCGCCATGGACGACCCATGTGCTCTTCTCTCCTCCCAGTCCCAGCCATCAAGACGGAGCCCACGGATGAGTATGACCCCACTCTGATCTGCAGCCCCACCCATGGGGGCCTGGGGAGCCAGCCTTACTACCCTCAGCACCCGATGGTGGCCGAGTCCCCCTCCTGCCTCGTGGCCACCATGGCTCCCTGCCAGCAGTTCCGCACGGGGCTCTCATCCCCTGACGCCCGCTACCAGCAACAGAACCCAGCAGCCGTGCTCTACCAGCGGAGCAAGAGCCTGAGCCCCAGCCTGCTGAGCTACCAGCAGCCGGCCCTCATGGCCGCCCCGCTGTCCCTGGCGGACGCTCACCGCTCTGTGCTGGTGCACGCCGGCTCCCAGGGCCAGAGCTCAGCCCTGCTCCACCCCTCTCCGACCAACCAGCAGGCCTCGCCGGTGATCCACTACTCGCCCACCAACCAGCAGCTGCGCTGCGGAAGTCACCAGGAGTTCCAGCACATCATGTACTGCGAGAATTTCGCACCAGGCACCGCCAGGCCTGGCCCGCCCCCGGTCAGTCAAGGTCAGAGGCTGAGCCCGAGTTCCTACCCCACCGTCATTCAGCAGCAGAATGCCACGAGCCAAAGAGCCACCAAAAACGGACCCCCAGTCGGTGACCAAAAGGAAGTATTACCTGCAGGAGTGACCGTCAAACAGGAGCAGAACCTGGACCAGACCTACTTGGATGACGGTAAGACGCTTGGGTTTTGTCACTGCCTGTAAGGATGGCGCCCTGACGCATCTCTGCCTAGGAAATTCACTGAGTGGCCTGCAGATTACTTAACCTCTCTGGGCCTCGGTGTCCCCATTTTAATCGAAGGAGGTTGAATAACAAGACCCTGAAAGCCACCCCCAGCTCTGTGCAAGAATTATCTCCCATCAGATGTCCCCCTCCAGAACGACCCCCATGGAAAAAACAAATGAGGGCAACCCGGCATCCCCCGGGTCATGAACTGGGTGCAGTTAACTGCTTCCACACTTTCCAATTGCCAAATTTAGACCGAGGCCAAGAAAATAGAAAGGAAGGAAAGCTAACCTCCTTTCATTCCTGTACGGAAAAAATCCCACTGGCTAGCCCTCTTTTGTGTATTTGAGGGAGGGAGAGGGAGGAAAAGGAAGAGGAAAGCTCATTGAAAAGGGGCTTTATCAGAACAGCTTGCAGGCAGGCTGCGGGCACTTCTCTGCCCTGTGCTGGTGGAACAGAGATGCACATTGATGGGAGGGAACAGTGGGCATCCGCTGTGGTGAGCCCAGCAGATGGGTGGTTTGGGCCAAGAAAAAGGATGCAGAGGAGGCTTTGTGTGAGTCTGTAGGTGTCTGTCTGTGGGCAAGGGGTCTGGCCAGAGGGTAGTCTTATGGAGCAGCTGTGATGAGGCGTTGGACCAGGATCTCAGGGAGGAAGGGCAGACTGCTTTGTTAAGACTCACCTGGGAGCCGCTAGGCACATTAGCAGGTCGGAGAGGGTGGGGTGAGCAGAGCAGCCTTGCCTTGGGGGCTCTGGATGGAAAAAGGAAAACAGACTGTTGGGCTTTCTTTATATTTTTCTTTTAAAAATTTATTTATGGGTGTATAGCAGGTGTGTGTGTGTCTGTATTTATTTATTTATCCTACCTATCGGGTACGTGAGATGTTTGGAGGCAGGCATGCAAAGTGAAAGAAGCGCTTCGTGGAGAATGGGGTATCCATCCCTTCAAGCATTTATCCATTGAGTTGCAAACGGTCCCATGACACTTGAAGTTATTTAAAAATGAACAGTTAAAAGGTTGGAGTTTCTTACTAGCAGTAGGAAAAACCTAAATTGCCGGCTGTCATTCCCAGTTCCAGTCTTGTATTTTATAGGCAGTAGTATCTGCTATACCCTGAAACTTCAATTATTTCAGAAAATTAACTCTCAGGAGCCCAGCCAAGGGGTAGGAAGTGAAGCAGGAGCTTCCAAACAACCACCATAGTTACCGTCAAGTCCGGCTATTAAGTTGCAGACACTGCGGTGCCAGAAATATCCTCTGCTGCGCAGTCAGAGACTGTTGACTTTTACTCCAAGAAACATCTTGATGAGTCAGGTTATCTGGGGGTTCTGTGACTTCTAGTAGTTTCCATACCCAATCTCTAGTGAGATAATGGATCAAAAACATCCCCTGAACTCACCAAGCAGAGACCTCTGGGGCCACTTCCTGTAGGGTCATCCTGGCCCATGCGCCTTACAAGGCTGGCCTCTGGGCATTGCTGTGTTAATAATTGATTTGTCTGATCCTGAATAATCACGTACAGGTTGAGTTAGGGTCATGGTGCTCTGTTTTGAAAGAGAGACCTGCCTACAAGCCATCCTTGAGCAATCTACATTCACAATGGTGACGATAAAGTTTTGGTGCTTATTTTCAAGAGGCAATCATGTTGAGAATTAACTAAGGCAGAATGCCCAGTGGTGGTAGATCAATGAAGCATGGCTGTAACCAGACCCCTTTCTAGGCAAGGCCTTGGGGGATCGATTGTATTGGAGAAGAGGTGCTTTATAAATAAATGAGCTTCTGTGCAGGGGCGGATAGCTTTCCCCTGCTGACTCTGCACCTAGGGCTGGGCTGGTCTCCAGAGTAAGAAACACATTGGCCTCTCCCACCCCAAGCATCCTGTGTTAAAGGCAAATGGTGAGTGTCTTGGATATTGGGGCACCCATGTCCACGTGGCCCGAGGTGGTCATGACTGGCTGTTGCAGCCCCAGATCCATAGATGTCCTTGCCATTTCCACAGAAACTCACGTTACAGAGAAAGCAGCTGGGCATGGAGACCCTTCTGGGCCCCTGGAGGCCCTTTCTGAACACAGGCAGGTTCACAGTCGTGGTGAGAGGGAGTCCTGCCAGGTCGAAACCTGAGTCGGCTCTGAGGATGTCTCAGAGAACGGAGCGAGGTGAAATTGAGGTACATGCTGTATGACCCCAGCCCATGGGATGTTAGGAGCTATTTTCTGAAGGAGGGGTCCATGGCTTTAAAAAATGAAAAAACTAGGTTAAACCAAGTTTTTTTTTTTTTTTTTTTTTTTTTTTTGTTGCAGGACTTCTCAGAGTCTTTACTATGCTAGTGGTTGTTATCCATCTCTAAAATGAGGGGGTGCACACAAACGAGAGTGCACGGCACACTTGAGGTGGTGCTGTCCCACTGTATTGTGTTCTGTGAGAACGGAGGCCTGGGAGTCGCGCAACACAGCTGACCTGGACACTCCTTTCCCAGTACTTGGCAGAAATAACATACAGGAAACTGAAGGGCTCTGAAGCACGGCACTGCCCAGGCCCCTATGCCGTATTCTGGCTTCTCAGTTTTGGGGCTGCACATTCATGAGGCCAGAGCCTGCTGGGGCAGTGGAGGGGTTTCTACCCATGTGGCTCCAAAAACCAGCAAGTGTTACTAGGTCCGTTCAGGGCTCCCCTGGCCTTGACTCCAAGGCTCCGCCCAACCCAGGACCCTCCAATGGGCAGGTCCCCTGGTGGCTCATGCCCAGTGGCAAGCCCCAGACTACGTCTCCACCATAGCCACCTGGAAGATGTGGGCGCAGTTTTGTCTCCCAACTGCTGGAATTTCAGATTCTCCTCCAGAGTCTGTCTAGCCTGTGCATCCATGGAACATTCCAGATGTGCTGCCATTGGCCCTATGGATATGCAATTTGCACATCTTCATTTGCTGTTGTGTTATTTCTGACAAGTAAACTGGAAAATCTCCTGGGTCATTCCTCGGGTGTCTGGCGGGGCAGCTTCCTCGGTCTTTAGGTCCTTTGCTGTCCCTTTCATTTATTATTCCAAGGGAGTCTGTTGCACACAGCGTTTATTTGTCTGTGCAGGGCACGTGCTAAACTCCAGCGTGACGTGCTGCCAGCATGTGGGCGTTTGTTTTTTGTTTTGTTTGTTTTTTGAGATAGTGTCTCTCACTGTTACCCAGGCTGGAGTGCAGAGGTGCGATTTTGGCTCACTGCAACCTCCACCTCCGGATTTAGGCGATTCTCCTGCCTCAGCCTCCCGAGTATCTGGGATTACAGGCGCACGCCACCATGCCCAGCTAATTTTGGTATTTTTAGTAGAGACAGGGTTTTACCATATTGGTCAGCCTGGTCTTGAACTCCTGACCTAGTGATCTGCCAGTCTCAGCCTCCCAAAGTGCTGGGATTACAGGCGTGAGCCACCGCACCCAGCCTAGTATTTCTGATTTGCCATTTATTTGCCTTGGGATTTTGCCAAAGTGGGCTTTCCATGGAAACTGTGAGAGCTGAGCTTATGTTTTTTGAGGGTCGAGGGAAGGTTCTGTGGCTGGAAAAGGAAGCAGTCACCCGGGTCCTCCCTCCCACACAAGTGCAAACAAACCACCTTTGAAGCGGCCCCTGCCCCTGCCCTGGGGTCCAGGGAAGCCCCGGCTCAGCTCTGGGTTATCACTTCCTGCACCTTGGCCCGTGGTCCCAGTGTCGCGTCTGGACATCCCAACCCGCTCCCTCGAGGGGCGTCTGTACTTTATCTCGGACCTTCCCGCCTGCATTCCTGCACACAGACGCCGGCTGGCTTGGCCCCGTTCGTTCTTGGAATGCCAAGGCACTGCTTGTGCTTTCTCCACTCCCAAGTTCTTGAGACATTTTCAAGAAGTCTCTTTGAAAAGGCAAAATAAGTGATATTGCAGGGCCCAAGGCATCCACTTCCCCAAGCCTCGGGTTTCTCCACCCACCCCAATTCAGCTACTTTCTTACGGTTCTTTAAAAACATATGATCTGTACACTGTCACTTGCTTGCTCTCTGCTGTCATCCCCCTTCCATGACCAGCGTCTTTTTCCAAGGCCCCCGGTTGTAGCTGAGGAAAGCACCAGCAGCTCCTAGGACCTAGTTGTTCCCTGCCTTCCTTCCACACTGCTCTCTCCTCCCCAACCCTCCCCATCCTTAGCCTTCCTTCTTCCCTCTCTCCCCCCCTCTCTGTCCTTGACGCTTGATTTCTCTGTCCTTGACCCTCCTTCCCTCTCACCCACAAGTATTTTCTGGCTGTCTACTCTGTACTGGGCACTGTGCTGGCACTTAGGGATCCACCAGTGAACAAATGAAATGAAGTCTTGGCTCTCGGGGTACTTTTTTGGTAAGGGAGATAGACATTAGCATGGAAGGCAGTGAGTAAGCAAGCGAAATTAACGAATATGAAAGCCACAGGGGAAACTCCCCGGGGTTAAGAGCAAGAGGATGGTCAGGGGCAAGGTTAGCCTCTGCAGATGAGTGGACAGAAAAGCCACTCTGAAGAGGTGGCCTTTGGGGATGGATGCAGACATGGGGAGGTCTGAGGGAAGAGTGTTTCAGGGAGAGGGAACGGCAGGTGGTGGCCATGAACTCAGAGAAGCAGGCTTGCACTGGCAAGCGTTTAGCAGCAGTGCAGCATGGTTTGATTTGCTTTTTGAAAAGATCACTCTGGCTGCCTTTGCAAAATGGACTATAGGGAGTCAAGGGTTGGAAAAAGGGAGATGAGTGAATTTGAAAACGAATTCTGTGGCAGGAACACGCCGGAAGGCGGTGCATTTCACAGGGGGTGTGCCTCGCAGGACCTTTCATGAGTGCAGTTACTTAAAATGCAACTGGAATTGCCA